AAATATTCTTACGAAATGTACAGGTGCGGAAAGATGGCTTCTCCCGCAGAGCAGTTTTAGGGTTGCCATAAAATTGCAAGGTAAGGCAGGGTTGCCACGTTTGGTGAGAAATCGCCCATTTGGTGACAAAATTCACAATATATCATAGACGGATGGATAACCTTCTGGAACGAATTCTTATCGGTTTAGCCCAGAATGTTCTCGAACACAAGCCGAAAGCTATATAAACCCTGCTGGTCCGCAGTCAGTATCGAGTATGTGCCTTGGCTAGCTAGCTGACAGTTAATATCGAGTCAATCTCTGCGGAGTCGATCAAGTTGACAGTTGGACGGGGAGTGCCAAGTAGCTCGTCGAATGCACCAAAAGAGTCTTGTAGTGCCTCATTGAGAGAGCGTGTTAAGCTCCGGGAATGACTGAACCGAAGAGTCAGTAGCTGTGCTCTGCGTGTCGTCGAGTGCATCACGAGTTGTAGCGCGGAGAGTCTCGAAAGTACGTGGAGTTTCCAGAGCGACCAAGCAGAGTCGGGAGCTGTACACTGGTGCTTTGCAGTGAAGCTGTCTTCACCGTGATAGCTTGATAACCTGAAAGCTGTCTCTCTGATCGTGTTAGCGTGTTTATAACGTGTTTATAACAGTTCGACGACAGTTAACATGATTTTCGAGTTGTCCTGATTAATACCGGCCATTAAAGTGTGTTTCGATACTTCGTCATGTGTCGTCGTTATTCACTCCAAATCCACACGAACCCCGTACGAACGTGAAGGAAGAAAATAATATAACAACTGGTGTTAGAAAAGAAAAACGCAACAATATGTTTTGTACAAATAAACTGCAAGCATTTTCAGCAGAATTATAAAGAACACTTCTTTTATGCTGTTATTACATGTTAAATATTATTTTGCCTAGATTAAGTGAAAGAAACACATATGTAAAAATTTATTATTTAGAAGAAATATCAAATTAAGGTCATTTTCTTTACCTTGCAATGCATTGTTTTCCCTGTACGAATTTCATATTCTGATAAGACAAAAATAGTGGTCACTAAACTTATAGGATATATTTCTCATAAACATCATGTGGAGGTGATACAGTAGAAAAAATGCATAATTACGGAGCTGAGTTTTGAATAATTTTTTCTTTATCAAATGAGTTCAAAAGTCTCTAATATCTTGTTTTTTTAGCATGAAATGTTTCACCAATTTTTAAGGTTTGTTCCTAAGAATAATTCATTAAAACAGCAATTAGTAAGAACAGTACACTCTAATTCAAATTTGGTCACTTAGGTTTGTTAGGTCTGGCTACAAATGAACACTTTAAAATTCAGCATGAAATTTTAAACATATTTTTTTTAAATTTGTGTCTTAATTTTTATTTTCAAAAAACATGTATGTAATTTGAAGTTTTATGTATAACAAAAATTAGCATAAAAGAAGTATGACAAATTAAATTATCTCTACATTCAGTCACTATTAAAAACTACTCAGGAGGAATACCCCTAGGGGGAATTTCATAATTTCAGCGAGTAATCTAGTCAACTTTTTGTTTATGTGTTAAGTATTTAGTTTATGAATGTACAAAAATATTTCATAAACTTGAACAAAAGTTTCAGATTTTGGTATTTATCAACATTTTTTATACTTTGTTTAATTTATAAAATGCATTAAAAATAATCTATATTTAAATAAATGCATACGTATTTTTCAAGTTTTGGGAAGGAGGAGTCGAATGAGCATCTAGCAATGGTGAAAAGGGTACATGAGGGAAAATTTGTTGAGAACCACTGGTCTAGACTGAGCCAACTTGAATTAAATATAGAAATCTATACTTTACAGATCTTTAGTTCTTACTGTAGAGTCATTATTATTATTTTTTTTTTTAAATGCGGACGACATGAAAAAAAAGCTATGCTCTCACCGGGACTCGAAGCTGGATCTGTCGAATATACGCCGAGTGTGCTAATCGTGACATCAAAGAGGCATGCTGGAAGGAGGGAGAAAATACCGTATATACTCCACCTTTTAAAGGGCAACTGGGGATTAGGGGACCCAATTGCCAAATCCTGGTGGGGATGAAGAATCATCCAGCCCCTTTTTTTTTAGTTAGAGCACCACTGTAGAGTTAGAACTTTTTTGATACTAGAGACATGAAAAATGAGAAATACCCTCGAATCTGGACCTCTCGAATACATGCCTAGTGTGCTAACCATTACACCACGAAGGCATGCAGGAAGTTACTTTATATTACTATCCTGTTATGTATTATTTCAACCTGCACTGTCAATTCTACTTTCTGCTTCCTCACCAGAATGTGAATGAGTTAGTAAGTAAACATGTTTAGGATGCAAATGAGTTAAGAGTATTTAAGGGGAAGCTTTTGAGATTGAAAGGGAATGCAAATCTTGATTACATCGATTTCTGCTGTCAGGGTTTACCAATTTGTGGATGTTGCAGTAAGTGCGCCATTAAGTTAACTGTATGAGCAAGCCTGTTAGGCTAATCTTGAATTCTAGTATTTAAAATTAATTACCTTAAAATGTTACGTTTATTAGCTGTGCTCAACTTTAGCAACTCAATATTTTGATAACTGAGTTGTTAAAGTATCAGCACAATACTTAAATGTATACAGTAAGCATAAATATGCAGAACGAAGTGAGCTTTGTAAACAATTTTATACTTCTAACTTAATTTTCATAATAAACACTGATGTAAATAGACCATGTTTTGATGATTTGTGACGTAGGACCATCACGCCTGTATCTACTGCAGTACGTAATGTCCTAAAACACGATATCTATACCCATTACAGTAGATAACCTCATAAAACATGCACCTGTACAACTATTTATCGCTATGTATTTCATGCAATGTAATACATTTTATGGGATCTACTTTAAAGCTAAAAGGTAGAAGTGCTGTTGATGTCACTGGCAGTGACAAAACTTGCAGTGTTGGCTGGAGTCACAATTTCATCATGACTCGAGGACTTTGATAAGTTTAGTCTAAAGTAAAGAATAAAATATCTCTTAACCAAGTTTTTATTGTGCTTGATTACATAAAACTGTTCTACGTTAAAAACTAAAAACGAAGAAAATAAAATTCAAGTGTTTTTAAATTAAAAAGTTAATAGTTTGAATAACGAAGCATACTTATATTTAATCTCACCCATATTACCTTTAAAAATAGCATAGAGGAATTCCACAATGATAATTTTCATTTTCACATAAACATACCAAAGTTAAATAAGTAAATAAATAATAAAATGCATTTTCAGATTTATCATCAAAATGTTATAGCTAATCACTTAATCGGATAGCAGAAAGTTTTTTCCTACCTAATAAAATAAACAAATAAAGTAGTGTTAAAATATACAATTAGACCAGATCTGAATATTCAATTTACTATAATTAAAATTATAAATACATTTTATAGTAATAAAAACCATATGTGTTTTTAATTATGTGGGCTTTTTATCATTGTGCGCTTTCATCGGTGTGGGTATTTGTCGTGTGGGCAATTATCACAGTGGTGTTATTTTTGTGGGCTTTCCTCTGGGAACCTTATAGTAACAATGGTATTATTTAAAAATTAATCAGTATTAATATTTACCCCAATTATGTATTTTTACTTATTGGTTGTGCTGCTGGTGGCTCCAATGGTGCTCTAGCCAAGTCCCAGCCACCGGTGACCCCCATGGCAGTCTGTATTAAAGGAAAAAAACTTACTGACACACTCGCTCAAATGAAACCATCTGCACATTCTAGCGGCCAAACCTTGCTTCCTAACACCTTAATGCAAATCAGCAAATTATGCTGCCAGACCCTGCACAATAATGCTACAAGAAAAAGATGAGTTAAAAAAACATGTGTTTTCAGAAGAACTCCTTTAGTAACACTGAGTGGAGACCACATCCCAAAAAAGTAATGCTTTGTGCAGTCTACAAAGAAATTGTGTACTTTTAATTATTGCCATCAAAGCAGACAAATTCCGCAAAAATACTGTTCTCAAATGGCAGTTTTTCTAATATGGCTGGGATGTTTTACGTTACCCCCATATTCACTAGATTTGTGCCTCTTCGGATTTTCATTTCTTCAGATCACCAAAATTCTTTAAATGGCCTGGATTCACTTATTTGGAAACCGTGGAATAACACCTTGAAAACTTCATAAATAAATCTACTGACATTTTTAAAAAAAGTAATTTTTCAGCTGCCAGAGAGAGAACCAAAAGCCATAGAACAAACCGGTGCTTATGTGATTCAATGAAATTTTCTTATGTTTTTATACTTTTTCATTTGTATTTATTTACAGTAGACTACAGAACTTTTCAAATGATACAATACTTAGAACCTCATTAAGTCTGTCGAACTCAATAATCACATTAAGATACCAGAAAATAATTAAATAAACATGCAGTAAAATCAATCACGAGCTCAGTTCAAATCAAAGTTATCAAAGTAATTTAATTTGGCACTTCAACTTTAAATATCATTTTCTTAAACACATTAAATAATACCAAAATTTATTGTGTCACACATCAGAATTAACACTTAGACCATGCCACCTTGATTGATATCATGGTCAGCATGGCTAGTTGCTATATCGTTGGGCCCCAGTTTGAATTCTGGAGAAAGCTTGGATGTAATAAGGGTGTAGTGTCTTTGTGGCTTGGAGGCACTTAAAAATGGTGAAATGAAAGCACTTTTGAGTGATATGATGGTAATGAAAGAGGGTGGGAGTCTCAAACCCATCCTGCAAGGAGTTCTAAGCTGGGAAAAGCACTGACACTTATAAGGTACCTATGCCAATGATAGGCATAATCTTGTGCTCCTTGCCATGATAAAATTCATAGACTGATCAAATGTTACTGTCAGATAAATAAGTCCCAATACTCGGACCATAATAACACATAAATAACTGACATAATTTCTCCATGCTAAAACCGATAAAATTCAAATTTATAAGAAAAATTCATCGACTCTGGAAAGAATGACCAAGAGGCCACATGGTTTGAAAACAGTTTTATATCACAATAAAAACAGCAATTCTCAAAATATTTATCATTTTCCTACTTCTAGTCATTAATCATGAGACAGTATAAAATGTTCCTTTTGATGACAATTCTTGCACGAACCTAAAGAAAATTATGAATTCATTAAATATGGAGAGCTGGAAAAATTTCTACCTGATATGTTGCATGACAGATATTAGTACTATTTTTCAGAGTTACTAAAATCTAACAAAAGTATTCAAATGCAAATATCATATTAAGTGATTAATTTACTCGTATACAAAGAAAATGTAAATATTTTTATATCTCGATATATGAATGGCAGTAGAGTTTTACAAAGTGTCAATTACATTCATTCTATTTTAATCTTAAACACAAGTTTCTGCACTTTGCTTCATAAAGTATTAATAATAATAAAACAACAACAACAAAAAATTCCTTGGATTCAGACATTCTTGTTACATTTTAACAAAGTAAGAAAAGTGTAAAAAATTTATTATGACTATTAATTTACTTTAGAAATAGAACATTAATTAATGTAATAAAATGGTATTTTATATACACATTTTATGTTTTATTCATTATTCAAAAAAATTATATATGCTTCTTTATTTTTTTTACAAAAACATAATACAACTTATAGCTGTACTGGAAAAATATCCAAAAATGATTTACATTAAATTATTAGATGAAGTTTACACATTGCCATATTATTTTAATGCAGATGATTTGTGTGGAGACAACAAAGATGAAATTGACATAACTGATGATACAGGTAAGTTGAGATGACGAAGTTGACTGTAAAGCCAAGGTAAACATATTTCACCTGTAAAATAAAAACATAATTTGCAGAAATGAAAGCTTAGGACAAAGTAAATATTATTTTGAAATATATTTCATAATCAATAGCAAGTTAATATATTTAGTAAGAAAAAGTATTTAGCATAATGTTTGTAAGTACTTCAATATATTTTGATAAATAGTTACCTCAAAAAGCATATATGAATACTACCCACCTGTTGGAAACTGCATATTAAATGGACTCATGTGATTTATGTCAAGTAACAACAGAAATCCTACTAGGACACCTGGATAATTAGCAATAACATCACCTCTAGAATTCCAGTTTTGAGTTATATAATGCAATAAGTATTCTTCATATCCTAAAATATTAGATGAATGAAATTTTGAAATAAAAATTACACTGCAAATAAAAATACAAATCACAATTTTAAGTAATATTCATTCATCAGTATCTCTTTTATTTAAAAGTTTTAAATTGTTTTACAAAACAGATGATTAAGGATGAATTAAATGTTTTAAACTTTACAAAACTACGACAGAAAATATTGAATCTGAAATGCAAAGCAGAAGACAAAAAGCAATGAGACAAATTGTGAAGAAGCAATCAGAAGGAACTGTGGAATGAAGGATTTAGTGGTGATGTACAGCATACATTCAGATACATCTTGGTTGCCTCCATGGCATTTAGGTGCTTTTAATGCCAAGTCATGAAAGAAAATGCACTGCAGTTTGAGGCAGCAAAATGTAATGAAATTTTGTACCAAACTCGCTAATAATGTTTAATTTGTTGTCTTATTAGACCAATTTCATAGCTGTTTTAGAGCAGATTAAGTGTAAAGAATCCTTGGATGGTATTTGTGAACAAGAGAGTGAATGAAAAAGTTTAACCCTTTGTGGCTCAGTGTTCCACTACATGGAACACCCAAATTGAATCGCTTCTGAAACCTTTAAATTCCTCAATACTGCTTTGATAAAAATAGATAAAAATGCCTTTATACTTTACTTTGAACTTTTCTTTTTAAACAGTAGAAAGCAGCATATCACAAGGAGACACAGAATTTTCATTTATTATGTGTTCTTAAAATCCACTTTTTTTCAAGTAATTTTCCTCATTTTTTTAATGATATAAAAATTTTATTTGGAAAAAAAAAATAGGCATAATTTTGCTGGCTGTACTCCAAATTATTTGTTCTATATTTTTTTTTAAATCTTTCATACAAAAACCATACGCAGAATCATTGAATAAAACCGGGTGTTCCATTAGCGGGAACACAGCACCTTTAGCGATCTCATGCTGTTATGAATCAGAACTTCTGTGCTTAGGAGAGAACATCCGTTGTTTACGCTTTCTGTTTTGGGGGGGGGGAGGGAACAAATTCAAACAAAGCAGTATTGAGGGGTGATGTGTGTTTTGTGTTATGAAATCCTTAATATTGGCATCTTGAATTTTTTGGGAGTAGTTTTTAGGCAGGAATTTTATTAGTAGTTTGACTCATCTTTACTTACACCTGCGCGAATTTTTGGCTGTCGCTTTTTAGTCTCGTTCCCGTTTATTTTCAATAATTGTGTAGATATTTTTCATGTATGTATATATTATAGGCTTATTTTCCTTATTGTTAATATTAATCGTAGTTAATTTTTTTATTATTAATTTTCCATAAATGGCACGGAGAGGTCTAATTCTTTTCGAAAATTTGTAAAGATTTTTGTATATAGGACGTGTATATAGGATATTTATCTTATTTATCCGTATATATTCAAGAATATTGTGTATATCCAGGAAACCATGTATACAGTCATAATACAGAGTTTTTCATTCTTATACAAACACTTCTACTCATTTTCATGCTTCACCGCAATGCTCGCTTTGTCGCACTTTTAAAAGCTCTGGCGGCGCAGTGTTCCACCTCATGGAACACCCACAGAATTAAAACAGTAAGTGCAATTTTTACAAAATTTTGCCTGTATACTCCTTTAGAACTAAATAGACTGCATACAACTTTTTTTTGTTGAAATTCTGACGTTAACGTATAGTGCACCGCAAAGGGTTAACGGATCCTCTTGCATGGTAACACCTTCCTGGAATCCAGGACTCAGTAGGTTTGTCTCCATGAGGGATGTTCCACTAGACAACTGTTATCAAGTAAATAATGACAGGGACCCATTCGGTTATTAAAACTTTCAACTAACTAGCCTATCTCAGAACAAAATTTTGATGAATATTCTGTAGCTAAGGAAGTTACTCAAATCTTGTAGCTGCAGAACTGATGAAAAGAATAATAATGAATGAATACATTACGGATCAAGTTGGCACTATTATTATTTTTCAGGCTATGATAAAGTGATATGGTTGATTGCTTGGATAAGAATATTTTATTTAATTGTCTAAATGCAAAATCTTCACAAATTACTGTAGAGTTATCCTACAGAGAAGTCAAGGATGCAGAAAAGAAGGTCATATTGTTAATACAAAACGAATATTTCTCTGATCATTTAAACAAAAGAAAATTAACATACAAATACGAAGAAGTATGAACAAACATTTAAACCCACAGACGTAGTTCTTATTGGGAGTGATACTATTAAATGTACTGAGTGCCATTATTACTGAATTACTACCTGGAAAAGAAAACGTCAATAGACTACTATGACTGAAACTACAAAAAGACAACTTTTACATTCCATATAAAGAATTTTTCCATTAGAACTGTAAAGCAGTTGGTTTGAAGATCTAAAAAAATGATAGACATGATCAAGCTAGAGTTGAAGGATATTCGGTGAAATATAGCCAAAATGATGTAAAATTTTAGAAAACCAGGAGTGGAAGAGAAATCAGGCTTATCCAAAAGATTGGACTTATACCGTGTATGAACATTTGAACTTGGCTATTTTATCTTTCTTTTTAATTTTAATATTTTGTATTTATTTTCAAAAGTTCTACTCTTTAAAATTCCTGTAGGAAAACAACTTAAAGTAGCAGAATGTTGGATTTCAGATTATGTGTAATTTTATTTTAATTGTACTTTCATTTAGGTTTTTTTTAAAATAATTTTTATTTTATTTTTTTACTTTATGTTTTTTGACCATTAATAATTATTGATAGTTTTATTTTCTGGCAGTGATGACCAAACATCTTTTAAAGTGAGTTAAAAATATGTATTAAAGAATGTTTGTTGTTTAATGATGTTTTATTCAAGATTCATGAGTAATGTTTTATTCGAGATCCATTTCTGTTTTCAAACATAAATGTTATTTTAGAATATATTATTTGTCTCTAGAGTCCATGATATATTAGAAGAATAATAGTTTATTTTGATGTATAAGCGAATATAATAATTAAACAAATTAAACTTATAGTTCTGAACTGGTACATTAACTTTTGTCCCTCTGATGATATAAGTTCGGTTTTCTGTCATTTGAAATACTTCGTAAAGATTTGTTGTCCTCTTCCGCCTGTTATTTTAGGATTTTTATTATTCAGGTTTGATTTGCTTTTCTGTAAAAGTATTTTGTTGGCTACATTAGAAATTATTTTAGATTTAACTCAATTTTCAATTCCTTATGTATACTTCTGCTTTTCTTCTTAAATATAATATGGTGAAAATTAATCAATTTACTTGTCATACTATAAATAGCTGAACATTTTTTTCTAATTAAGAGGCAAAAAAGAACAAAAGCCCTTTATTTTAAGCATTTACAGTCAAAAGTCGTTAATTCGGACCTCAAAGCTACAAACTTTCTGCGCATGCATAGCGTTGACGCATGCACGTAAGACCTTTACTACTGCGAATTTGCGTGTGCGCGTGCGCAAAATACGTTTACGAATGTGTGTTTAATGTATAACGGACGAGATAAGCTAAGCTAAAATTATCTAATTATCTATTTCAGTTAATGTTGCAAATTGTGTTGTTCCTTAATCTTCGAATTGGATCCGGCTTATTATTTTTTGCAGACTATTAGAGCAATTTTATAAAAGTAAGCTTGAACTTTCGATTATTTCAAATAGAATTTCCGATATATATTTACTAATATGTAAAGGATATACAAATCGAAAGTATCTTTCGGAGTCCATTAAACAAAAAGTGGAATTGCTGCAAAAAATGGATAAAGGCGTATCCTTTGTTTATCTAAACTTTGTTTATCTTTAACGCCGCGGAGCGCAATGAATTGGAAGTTGATCTGTCAACACTATCCTTATCTTAAGGGCAGATGTTTTTATTTTATTTGGCTTATAATTGCTTACTAAATGTGGTATTTCCTCTCGATGTACTCCGTCTTTGATATGATTTAAATCAAATGCCTCGTCATTATAATTCGCTTCCGATAGCGAAGAAAGTGACAGAGGTTATTGAAAACGAAAAAATTTCGATTGACAAATTAGTCGGTATTCTCGACACAGCAATTATAGGACTTGGAACAGCGGAACTTTGTAACTGAACAAGAAATTATGTCTGTTTTTGGAATTAAAGAGAATGTATTATCACATAAAAAATGAAGCTACTTAAACAACTTACATTGAAAGAAATGTTTAATAAAGTAAACAAATAAATATTAAGCTTTTTTTTTTTTTTTTTTTGTAAATTTTGATACCCTTTAGATCATAATTGTTCTTTATTTCGTAAATTACGGTTTCATGTTTTTAATTTTATCATTTCTGCATGCCATTTTACCAGATTTAAACTGATGATCTATAATCCGGAATCACAGAAGTCCCGACGAGTCCGGATTAACGACTTTTGACTGTAATAATTCTACAGAACACAATGTATGATGCATGAGTAATAAGAGTACAAGAAATAACAAACATACACTTTGATTATTCTGGATATAATCCTAAAATACTTTAATTAAAAAAAATTCTTTAAACATGAACTGACTGTGTTTTATATGGTCATAACCCATTTCTCACAATTTAAGTACATTATGTGCTACCCCTACACACATTCATACCTAAATACACAAATCACATACTTGCAGGATACTCATTCTTACATAGGATTCCTGTATGAAATCCTGAGAAGAAATCATGGTAAGTAGTTAAAAAGTCAGGAATTTTGTTTAGTTTTAGCAGCATATATTAAAGTTGCTGTAATTGCATAATATCCGAAAAGGACTTTTTCCTGCATTTCATAAGAACAGCAAAATTCAGATATGAAATAAAAAGAAATGTAGCATAAAATTAGTAAAGAAACAATCTTGTATACGGCATAGATTTAGACAAAAAACGTCAGTCAATTTCAAGGGCAAACAGTTCCTCTTTATCAGGAACGAAGAAATTTGCTGGCTTGTAAGGCAGCGAGCATAAAATTGTAAAACTAAATATATATCAGGGGGTCACCAAACTTCATGTCAGTATGAGCCACATACTAGAAATCAGGAAATTTTGAGAGCCAAAACTAGATTTTGTCACAAGTCCATATCTACATCAATTTAAAAATAGTAAAACAGGTTTCAAATGACAAGAAATGTCTTATTGTAAACACTAACTAAAAGAAGTTTGCCTTCAACATGTGATGATGCATTGAAGACAAAAAGTTTTTGAGGGGCTTTTGTTTTCTCTAACTACAGACTGAAACAGTAAAAAGTACTCTTTTTCAGATTTTAAATATCCCGCTTCTTCCATGATACCTTCTTGTAAATGTTCATCAATCACAGCTCATAAAGCTTTGGAATTTTCTTAAATCTGTGTCACGATGACTGAAATTATTTCCCTACTACCTAAAAATTAACCTGTAATTCCCCTGCATGCTTCTTTCATGGCAAACAAGCCATAGATCTGTCATCCTCAAATTTTACATATTCTTGAAATTTTTAAAGTCGTGACTGTCATCAAATTTATCAGAAGTTCCCAAAACTTCCAACTGCCATAAATTTGTCATCAATCAGGACATCGAATCAACTTCTATATTTTTAATTTGAATCTAATTCTGTATGATATTAAATGCTTATGAACACATTACATTCATTTTCTGCTTTGGTGACAGACAATCCCAATTTAGTTTCTAGCACTACTAATGATTCAGAAATATGATAGACCCTTCCAGAAGCATCCATCCATCCATTTGTAAAGCATACAGATGCAAATCTAACTTTTGAAGATTTTTATTACAAAATTGTTTGATAGAATAACTACAGTATTTTTTTAATGCTTTTGAATAATATTAAGTTTCTTAACTAACAATAATAACATTTAGACAATGATCAGTTTAAGTTTATTAATAACTTTGGAAAAATAAATGAAATAAATTATTACATAGTTTTAGCTTACCATATTTCCTACATTTGTTTTATTTGCATAACAGCTGCACCATTAGCCGCAAGAGCCGTGCTATGGCCATCACTGTTATGTATGATTATATTGATTCTTATGTTGATACAAGCAACAATTAATTATATATTTTTAGAGAAATAAAAATTAAACTATAAATTATGAAGTTTATATCAATTAGTATATCTGTATACCAACATATCAAATGTAGAAAGAAAAATATGTAATAAACACCTAATTTTATTATTAATTAAACATTAATACATAGAAAAAATGTACTAACAAAACAAAATGCAATTTTTGTGCAAAAAATGAAAAATACAATACTTTTATATTTCATCATTCTCTTGCAAATATGAAAATTTAAAGAACCTTTTTAAAGAGTGAAAATATACCTGATTGTAAATAAAGAAAATATACCTTTCACTGCTGCTTTAGTAGCAATTCCTACTTCACTGGTTACAGTAAGACTAAAATCTGGTCTCAAGAGTGTCAAGGAATCAGTGTAATGAGATGAATACCTCTTAATCCACTTCTCATATGCCTCAACAAGTTTAATTTGCCATAATTCAAATGTATGTTGTTTGAAATCAGTTTGTTTTGCCATCTAAAACACAAATTTTAGAGAAAACAGTTTCTATCAGATTAGAGAAATGAAACATACACCAGCATGTAAAATGTTAATGTAAAATAAAAATACTAGGAAAAAAATTAAACTGCAAACAATACAAATGAATTATGCTACGTATTTAAAAATTTGCAAATTTAATGTTTTTCAAAACAAAATGTGTAACTGATTTTGCTTTTATTGTTTTTATGATTTAAAAAAGGCCTTCTTTCTTGCAAATATTTTAAAATCTAGTAATAGTTTATCGGGGAAGCTCTCAGAACAAGAAAGAAAAGTAGTAACTAAAAATAATATATGAATTTTCACTATTCATTTAATTAAATTTAGTATTTTTATCAATTTTGAAAAGTTAAAATTATATATCATTGACAAAAAGTGCAGTGCTCACAGGAATATATTACCTACAAAATACTTGCATATATGAATAAAAAGAAATATGAAAGCTAAGCAGAATAAAACAAAACCAAATGAACTCTTATGGCATGTAGAGTATTAATTTATAAAGTATATAACAAAGCAAACTTGATGAAACCCCATTGTTACATGCATTAAACTAGTTTCCACAACTAATATTCCATATTTTTACTGTTCTGCAGATATTCAAGATAATATTGTTCAGCTGGTCATTATATTTATCATTAAAGGGTACTCTACATTGGTGGCCCTAAAATAATGCAAAATTTTTATAGCTGTTGTTGAATATATATATATCAGATATTTTTATAACTTTCAGTAAAAGGAATCCCCTTCCCCAAAAATAATAATGAGAAAACCCGGGGAAAAAATAAATTAATTTTATGTAACACAATGTCATGAAAAATTGCTTTATCTATTTTTGATCTATCAAGCTTATTAACTGCAGAGTTCATCAAGCAAAAGTTTTTATGGCTGTTGTAAACATAATGATAAAGTAAATGAATTATTATCAAGTACATATAAAATTAAAATATATCATAAATAATTACAGTACAAAGTCCGATATCCAGACGTCCAAAATCCAGACCTCAAAACCACCAACAAAGTTTTTCTTGTAGGCTTCACACATGCGCATTTGATCCCCCCCCCTCCGCACATAATAAAACATCTGGAGGGCCCTGATTTTTAATTTCACTAAATAAAATACCTTGTTATTGAAAAAAATTAAATTTATACAAATTTAAATTTAAATTTTAACAAACACGTAGAAAGTAAAAAAGCAAATTTTAAGCCAAAATTTAAAAATAACAATCATTTTAGCATAAATTTGTATGATCAGTAATTTGGCTTTGTTGCTGCATGTCTACTTGGCACACATCTCAAACCAAAATATTTCACAGAGATACATAGTTGATCTGACACCAACCTGGAAAATCATTATTTAATATACTTTCCTTTCATCACCGCATGTTTATCAAAACATGGCAACTTTAGTAATGACTCATGTAGCGATGCCTTAAACAATTTTTTTTATGTTACTAATTGAATAAAGGAGTATGGTAACCTTTTACGTTGACATTACGCTTGGCGATAATTACAGATTTAAGTTAAATGTGTTAAAAAATGCTGACGAGGAAAAATTTACCAAACATTTCTTTCCATATGCTAAAAACAGATTTTGTTGATGATACTCATAGACTCAAAGATTACATTTAGGGCTATTTGAATTAAGAATAACTGATTTGTTATTCACATAAACCCAGAACCAGCACCAGGGCTTGTATGGCCGCAGCAAGTTGTAGAATTTAGGACCCACACAGACTGCATCAGGCAGTAAGATATCTAGTGCCGCCCTCAATAAGGCTTAAGTATACGTGGGAATTTATTTACTCAAAACTCTGATACGCCTTAATTAAACATGTGCAAGAAATAGACATAAGTGTAATAAATAACTACACTAATACAATTCAGGCTTAATTGTCTCAGTGCACGATAGATGCAAGATAAAATTTAACGGAACAATTTGTCGTTAGTCACCAAACTCATGATGCATAGCGAAATATGTATAGTGAAGGACAGTTAAATTTGATGATGATAGCCACTAATTTTAAAGGTTTTTGGATATCGCAAAACAAAGGTGAAATTTTCCAATTAACACATTTTGTAAAGAAATGTGCAGAAGCGGTAATAATGAAGTTGATATAAAAGAAGTTTTTATATCATGAATGGCAAAATCTGTAGTATGGTTCTAGATCCAGAAAATACCGCTACCAATAGTGAAGAAAGTAACAGAGAAGTTACTGTAAACAAGAAAATTTCGATTGACAAGTTAGTCAGAATTCTTGAAATAGCAGTTAAAGGACTTCAACAATGTAACTAAACAAGAGATAATATCTGTCTACAGAATTTAAGGTAAACAAATAAATATTAATTTATAATAAATATTAATTTATAATAAAATAAATATTACATTTTTTTTTTTTTTTTTTTTTTTTTTTTTTTTGTAAATTTTGATACCTTTAGATCATACATACTTCATTATTTAATAAATCGTGATTACATATTTTTAATTTAATAATTTCTACATGCCATCTTACTAGATTTATACTAATGATCTATTATCCAGAAAAATCTGGAATCATTAAAGTCCCGATAAGTCCGGATTTTGGACTTTGTACTGTAGTAATATTCATGTTATCCACCCCTATGGATGTACTCATGCAGTTATTTAAATGTTACAGGGAAAAAAGGGGTAACAGCAAATAAGTGGCTTAGAACTGGATTTCTTAAGCCTTTAATCACACAGGTCTTGCCAGAATCTGAAAAGGAAAGAGATTTAATGTCCAACAACACTTCTTACAAATCTGTCTGACTCAATTTAAGGATTTAATGGATTAAAAAGTATCATTCACAAAGAATTGACGATAAGCATATTGTAATTTTTAAAGTCAATTTAATAATAATTAGAAGGCAATATTCTATGTTATTTAATACTCCTTTGATATTTTAGTGAATGATTTTAGACTATCTGGATACATAGTGAATATATACTTTAAATACAACGTTCAGCCTTAAAATTTTCAGAAACCAATGGCATGAGGATTCATGCCACATTAAGGTATATGCAATCAGCCTGAGATTCATTTAAAAAGCATAATTAATGATCAATATATAGATGTCCTAAGAAAGGACCCTGAACAGCTGTGAATATCTCACCATGATCTGACAAAAAAAAAAAAAAAAAAAAAAAAAAAAAGCATTGCATTTTATGAAGTGTTATCCAAAAATTATGAAATTTCTTTGAAAATATTAACTTATCTTGTACCTTACTAGCCATTGTTACTTTTAAAAAGTCTCCATTTCAAAGCAGACATTGAGCTTAGCACTCTTCACACTTGCAAATTCTTCACAAAGGCATTTTCTGTTACAGTTCTCAAAAAAACCTGCAGGTTTTCATGACCTTTGCTTAGACTACTAAATCCTTTCCATTTTATAAAAGAAGAAAAAAACCACAGGAAGATAAATCTGATAAATAATGAAAGTAAAAGAGAACCCTCATCTTAACCTCATCAAAAACTGATGCAAGGCAAAAGTGATAAAACTTCTTATGTATGGTTCAACCCAAAAATATTTGCTTACTTGTGCAAAAAAATAGTGTTATTGGTTTCATGAGATTACATTATGAACTATCAGTTTTAACATTTTAGGATATTTAATATGCATTTGCAACTTTCCTGAAGTACATAAAGGATACTTCCTCTTTAATTCACATTTATCTATTTTTTGAAATGTTTCAGCTGTCAGTTAAGTGTTTACTTGACTAAAAGTATTTTGCCAAATTTTTTTTCCTACAGCATTTTGTAATTTTCACTACAATTTTTTTCAAGTTTGCAACAAAATTTAATGACTGTTTATTGTTTGGGTTAATATTCCATAATCGGGGCGAGTGCCAAATTTGGCACGATTTTGATTTGGTTGTGGTTTCTGGCTGTATGTTTTCTTGTAGCAAACCCAGAGCTTTATTTCGGTAATTGTAAGAGTGCGAATTTAGTGTAGCCAGATTTTTTTTTAAACTTAATTTTGAATACTCTGTTTGTTTTTAAAAGTTTTGCTGTTTAATATTATTATTATTATATATACGTATGTTTAATATTATATTTATATAAATATTTGCAGAAAGTTAAGCTGTTGTTGGTGGGAGAATATTGGATTTCAGATGACCTGACCTTATGAATGTTTTCATTTAATTTTATTTAGTTAATTATTATTTTTTAGTTTTGTTCCTTGCATGTGGCAATTGTTTAGTGTGTTGAATTCCATAACACTGTTTTATCATTTAATCAATTTCATTTACTATTCTGTTTACACATAATAACTGCTGTTCACTACTGTAAACAAAAATTTGCTATTCTGCTTACATTTAAAACTCACTTCGCAGAGCTCTGATCTGATAAGTGTATATATTTATTTACTCAATAATTATTTACAAGAACCGTTCATTCTACTGTTTTATGATGAATTAGATAGATAAGACTATGTTTTTACTTGCAAAGCTGTTGGAATTTGTTTTACTCATCTAGTATTTTATCATCTCATTTTACTATTCTGTTTACATAAAATAACCACGTTTTATTACTGCAAAACTTAAAACTTACTATTCTATTTACGTTTCAAAATCCCATCTTAGTGCTTTCAATGCCGCCAAAAATTCACCAAGTTTTGAAGCCAAAACAATTTGGCGCCAACTTACCCCACTTATGGAATATTAGCCATTGTTTGCATATTATCCAGTTTCATGGGAGATAAAATAATAAAATACACTAAATGCAATGTAAAAAAAAAAAAAAAAAAAAAAAAAAAAAAAAAAAATTAAAGTTGATCAAGATGGATTCAACATGATGGTTTAACTAAAAAAGGACCTATGCAGTAGCATCTAGCTCAGTATGTAAGCAGTTAATAAGTTTCTTCATTTTTTTGCATATTTTATCTTCCACAGAGTTTAACTTGACACAAATTAATTGCACCCTTTTTATGCTATATAATGGCAATAGAGATCTAGATGTGAAGATTTTTATGTTTTCTTATTAACTTTTCAAATGTGGTTCCCATTCAAGTTGAATTTTATAAACTTTAAATATGATAAATAGTAGATTACCTGAATCATTGCGAGACAGATAGGCAGAGCTTCCATTTTTTCTAAGGATGCACATTCAAACAAGAACCCACAAACTTTCTGTTGCCATTCTTTTTCCTGAAATAGATATATAAAGAAATAAAAATATATTTCACGAAAAAAAAAGCCCAAATATTTATATGAATAATAATTTACACAGCATATATAAATTATATGTGCTAGCTTATATATACTTATAGCTTATATATTAATATAGCTTATATATATATATACAGACACACACATGGGTATGTATATATAATTTAGTAACACATAATTCATACACATTTCTGCACATGGAAATAAAAGTATTTTTAAGGACCATTAATGAAAAAAATTAAAGACCTATAAGCAAATAGGAACTGAATAAATTTAATTATAAATATTATCTATGCTTGAACTTCACTTTTGTAATACCATCCTAAAAATAAAGCAAATACGATATTTAACAATATTTGTTAAAAGAAAGCCCTATTAAAATCACAATCTACTAAAATTTCACAGTTTAAAATACATGCAATTTATGACATTGATTCTTGAACGATATTAGGATAATTACACACTAAAAGCTACAAAACATTTATGTTTTGTAGCAACAACACTCAATAAAATATTTATGCGTCTTTTTAATTTGAAGCCTTCCCAGACATATTGGCCAATTTATATCACTTTCTTTCTCTTGAAGCATCTTTTCTGACAATTAGAAAATTGTCTCAATACGCAAACCAATGTTCTTACTAGTTTCTGCATGCTTTATCTCCTAACTTGTCAACCTCTCCACAATGTACCTATGAGGGTTTACTTGATCTGGTAAAAGTTAAATAGCCCAAAACTTCCAACAGACATGAAGCAAATTATGGCTACGTATGAAAGTAACTACAGAGTCAGAAAACAGTTTAAATACGCCTGTTATTTAAAACGAACTTAGAACAAAGGCATGTTCTAATGCTAACAAAATCAATTACAGCTCATGGTGATGTAATTACACAAGAAGAGTCAAACTCAAACTAAAAAATCTGATGTGTACACCACATGACTTCCTTGTACAGAATATTAAATTATACACATTTTTTCTTGCATTTCATTTAAACTTATTGGATTGAATTAAATCTACTTCGCCGACAGCGCATAAACCACAATAGAATAAATGCATTCTTTAAAATTTACTCTAGTATTTGTTTACCATAGCGACACTCTGGTGCTAGATTCACTTAACAGTATTAATAATTATATAACAGTTAACTTACGTAATAATTATATAACGGAAACTAACTGTTATATAATCCAATAATTATATAACAGTTAACTTATACACTGACTAACAATAAGTATTTGGACACATATGCAAATGACGATATCTGCGGTCCTAAGGTACATCACGGACTCCGCCGGTATATATCATGTAGGAAACAGCATCGGCTTTAGTTGCATGCAAGATGCCTCGCAGTTTGGAGCTCTCTGATTTCGAGAAAGGTATAATTATCGGGTATTACAAATGTGGCCGATCCTTAAGGGACATACCTAGCGATCTGAAGTACCCAAAATCGACAGTGGCCTATGTGATTAAGAAGTGGAAAGTAAGCGGTGATTGTCGGAATGTGCCCCGAGTCGACAGACCAACGAAACTGGGAGATAGAGACCGACAAGTGCTATCCAGAGAAATTCGGAAGAACCGCACCCAACCCATGGCCCTCATCCGCGAGGAGTCTCAACAGACATCCGGGAGTATTGTTTCAATGAATACCATCTGTAAGGAAACACATCTGCTTGGTTTTCATGGTCGTGCTGCTGCCCATAAGCCTTTGATCACAAAGTCCAACCACGCTGCTTGGTTAATGTGGTACAAAGCACATGGAAATTGGACCATAGATCAGTGGATTCTTTGGAGTGACAAATCAAGGTTCACCCTTTACCGTTCGGATGGCAGGGTCTGGGTCTCGCGTCTACCTGGAGAACGTCTCCTGCCAGAATGCATTGTGCCAACAGTCAAGTTCGGCAGAGGAGAATTATGGTCTGGGGGTATTTCTCCTGGTATGGGCTGGAACCCTTAGTCCCCATTCATGGTAAGCTCAACTCCGATGCCTACTGCACTATTTTGGATGACAGCGTGTTTCCTACGTTGTGGGAGTTTTACGGGTTGGACCCCTGTTACTTTCAGGACGACAATGCCAGTTGTCATGTTTCGACGTTAACTAAGGCTTGGTATGGTGCCAATGGAGTTCATCGAATGGACTGGCCTGCCCAGATTCCAGACCTGAACCCTATCTAGAACCTCTGGGACAAGTTGCATCGCCGAATTCAGGGGTGCACTACCCGTGCAAAATCGGTGAAGGAACTTCTATGTCTTCTCCAAGCCAAATGGAAGAAAATACCACTAGCTGTCATACAAAGACTTGTGGAAAGTCTGCCCCGGAGGGTCCACGCTGTAATTACCTCTCGTGGAGCATCTACCAACTATTGAATTTGAATAAAGTTAGTTTTTCTTTTCTATTACAGGTGTGCAAATACTTATTGGTAGTCAGTGTATATTTCGTTCATATTATAACTCATAATGCACAAAATTTATATCATTTAAAGAATAGAATTATCTAATCATTGCCACATGTTCTATTCAAATACTATAATAAAGCTAGAATGAAGTATAAAAGAAATTAAGCAAACAAAACAAAAAAGAAACAGTTTTTCACAGATGATTGAGTATTTCTCATTTAATTAATTCAGTTCTCACTTCGCGAGAAGGGCAAAAATACATAAAAACTCAAAATATCTATATTAAAAAATTACAAAGTAAATCTTACACTTATTTCCTCGAAAAAATTCCAGAAAGAATTAAGCATGATTTAATTGGCAATAATAATGAATGCGTTATCTTTGTTGTTGCGAAGCTAAGTTTCTGTAGATTGGCAACAAATCCACTAGTCTCCTGTTTCAAACGTAAACATCAATGGCCGCCATAAAAAAAGCTTAGCGGCACTTAGACAACTTTAAAATTGTGATAATTCTAAAAATATTGCATACAGATTTACTAAAGCATAAAAACCTAACTGGAAGATAAAAAACAACATAATACAATCATTTTTAAAGCAAAAAAATGTACAATTTACAAACATATAAGAGTAAAGAAACTGAGATCACTGAGCCGGGTAACCGAGTAGATATATATATAAATATATTTATATACGTTTGGTGCGGCCGATTGCAACCAAAATACGAGGTGCACATCTACATGTTATAGCAGTCCTATATACTAAATTTCCACGTTCTGAGGTTACTCGTTTTTGAGTTATGTGAGATATGTACGTACGTACATATGTTCGTACAGACGCCATGAAAAACTCTCTTCAGAATTAATTTTAAAGCAGTTTTATAATTTTTTTGAAGGAAAAGAGTATTTTATTCTGTCCTTACATACAGATATCACGCAAAAACATTGTTAAATTGCATTCGATAGCGGTCAAAATGGAATATTTGTTGAAATATGCGCCTGAAACTTTTCGCGATTACAATACTTCCTTTTTACTTCATACAAGGAAGTAAAAAGTGGACTAGTGGTCAAAGACTATACAACTGAATTTTAATTTAAGCTGGCTCAGCAACTCTATCATCATAACAAATTCAAATGTTGGCAATGATAATGCAAAGACGAATAATTACAAATTATCAGAGCTGGCAGGAACTTATGCAGCAAGCAAGTAGAGGTCAGAAACACATTTCTGTTTTACACGCGAAAAACCTCAGTTTAAAAACTGTCTAAGTGATTTGCCTTCTAGTGAGGAAACAGAAATGAGAAATTATAGTAAAGGCTTTAAACTAGGTAATTTATATAATACTAATAACTGTACATATCTTTGAAGAATAGTTTTCTTTCTCTTTCTGTATTCAGTTTCTTTCAACATGTTGCATCTCCATTTTAGAAATTTTGGATTTAATTAACGATTTCTGTTATTCTAAAAAACTATATGCATTTAGAATGCATAGAAGAAGCTGGTAATTTTATTTCTTTAAGGAAATGAACATTCAAGAGAAATATGAAATATACACCGTAAGGGCCGATTACAGAGGTGGTGTGGCACAATTTTTATAATTTAGTGACACACAGAGAAACAAAATCTAGAAATAGCAAAACTTTTAGAATTTAGAGCAGGCATTGGAAGCAGAATTTAGAAAGGCATTAGGCAGCAGAATTTAGGATTCACAGGAGATTACATCAGGCGGGAAAATGCCTAGCACCAGCCCTGTGTATCATGCATTAAGACATATTAAATGAATCTTTTAAATTATCAAATTTCAATTTCTTTATTAATGGAAAAATTCCTTTCTATATGCATTTAGAAATATGCACATACCTGTCCATGTGATCAGAATAGAAGCATTTTTGATATTTTCCATGCTTGTGTCTAGTGAAAAGTATGGATAATAAAGGAAAGATACACATATTAAGAAAAAGATTCTAGTATCAGAAGTAAAACATTCAAATATTATATTTTGGTTGTTCTTCCAGATGTTCTCCAAGAAGTAAGAAATTCGCAAACTTTCTGTAAAATACGTCCATTACATGTTAATACCATGGACACATTTTTCATTTTGTCGCATTTTTCTGGTATCTTGTAGAAACGTGCGTCTATAAATCTTTCCTTCAAATCCTTCTCAACTTTCCAAGCTGCAATGTCTAAAATCCTAAAGAAAAATTACCGCTACCAATTCCATAACAGCAAAAAGCCAAAAATATATTGAAAAAAAATCACAGGGAAAAACTGTAAAATTAACATTATAGAGAAAACTGATACATATTCTGAGACAATAACATGGAAAAAACTCTTGCCATGAAATTAAAAAGAAGAGTTACATAGCTAGCTTTTGCTAAGAATTGTTTCCTAAATTGTGCTTTATAGCATTATACCTTTTTTATTTTTCAGATTCAAAAATATTGTATAAGTGGCCAAAATGGAAATTTATAATATAGCAGCGAAAAATAAAAATGTTCTATTTTATTTTAACGTTACTTTTTAAATATAATTTCAATACATTGTTGCATGCGTACGGGTTCATTTGAATTAAATGCACAAGTCCGATGAAAA